TTCTTTTCTTAAATCGCACTCTTCTCTAAGTGTTGCAAAATACTGGAAAAGTTACGTCAACCATTTTGTTTAATAATAATAATAATAATAATAATAATAATAATAATAAAACTGTAGGCATGGTTCTTGTGGCTTCTGATCTTAACTGATTGGAGTTGTTAATGTGTACTTATTTTTTCTTGTTTTGGTGAATTAAGATACAACAAGAGACCTTTATGTCAGATCATTCTAGGAGAACTACGCATTATAATATAACTCAACTGCTGCATAGTTGAGTCATCGGCGACTAAACTCATTTCACCACCAGGTTTTTTTCTGTTGAGAGGGATGGCTAACATCAAACATGACACAGCAGTGGTGGGCAGAGGACTGATGATGGTGACAATAAATATCCCCTTTTAGTACCACAGATTTGCATGTCAGTTGCCTAACCCTGAATAGTTTGGCATGTCCCGTAGGGGCTGACACATTGGACATCACTATCGGAAGTAATGGAGAAGTATCTTGATCCGGTGTCGAGAGATTCTTTTTAAGTTTGAAATATGAAGCAGCCAAGGGGATTTCGGAGTCATATGTATATACTTGGACCACCGTCCATCGGACAGCGTCTCAACCGACTGGGTTACGCGGCTAGCGGGTATTTCTAAGTAGTTCCACCTGTCACCATGTAAGGCACATCTGGCAAGGCTACATATGCCTGGTGTAGCCTTATCAGACTGGGTGTCGTGATGATGATACCAGGCTTTATTTATAATTTAATTTTTATTTTCTCTCCTTAATACGAATAGATAGGTTCGCTTATCGATCGCTTCACATTTCTCCCCAGGCTTTTGAACAGCAGTAATTTGTTTCCTGTTTATGATTGGGTTTCCGGTGGCTTCCAAAGGCAGCTTATTCTCTTTCAGTCTCAGTAGACCCGTGCGTTTTGTGGTATTATCGCCTTGCATCGGTGTGAATTGATTAAAATTAAAAAGTAAATATAAAAAATTAGCGGTAAACTAAAGCAAGCCGAGATACTATATATATATATATATATATATATATATATATATAGAGAGAGAGAGAGAGAGAGAGAGAGAGACAGAGACAGAGACAGAGAGACAGAGAGGGAGAGAGAGACAGAGATGTAATATAAAATATAATGAAGAGGGAGTGCAAGGAGTTAAAAAAATGCAGTACTCAATATGAATGAACAGACCTAATATGTAATTTAAAATAAGCAAATCCTAATTTCTTACAATAAAGAAAAGGTATACTTATAAGAAATAAGTTATACTTATAAGATATATATATATATATATATATCCACTGGAATCTTAAGATATTAGTCTTTGCACACACACACACACACACACACACACACACGCATATTAAAATCCACTAGAGCTAAATATATATATATATATTTATATATATATATATATATATATATATATATATATATATATATATATATATAATGGGGAAAACAAATATTCGTACACATACAAATTTTTAAATTATTGTATTTCCAACTAATGAATAAACATACTTTTCGTATAATTAACTGTACACAGATGCATAATAACTAAATAAGCAGAGAAAACAGGAAAAATGATTTAATAGAAATAAATCCCATTTATTCATTTTAATGGGCGAAAAAGGTATTCGTGCAATGCAAATTTCAGATTTTAAAACATTAAATTGCTTTAATATTCTAGATTATTCAAGTGGGATATTCTAGATTATTCAAGTGGGATATTCTAGATTATTCAAGTGGGATATTCTAGAACGTTTCAATAATGTTATCAGTAGTTATTATTAACCTAAATGATACAAACAGAACCTTCTGTAATTGATATTTGTGCAAGAAGGTTTTCATCATGTCAACAAGCAAAGAATTGACAAATTCGCAAAAAGAACTGATTGTTAGGCTCTGGAAAGAAGGTAAAAGTTAGAGGAAAATCTCAGACAACGTGAATATTCTATTTACTAACATTATTCCTTGTAAGGTATAAAAAAAACTCAAATTCTGTTAAAAAACAAAGAAGAACAGGTGTTTCAGGGAAGATTTCTTCAAGATCTTTCAGAAAACTGATGCGTCAAATTAAACAAAATCCAATCGTTACTCGTCAAGAGTTGCGGGATGATTTGCTTTCATCAGTAATCTGTCACTAAACGGACAATAAGCAATGAAATTCATAGGAACAATCTAAAGTCACACTCACCTCGGAAAACTCCATTTCTATTGAAAAAACATAGAGATTCCAGATTGAAATTCGTCCGTGAACATAAGAATAAGAAAAAATCGTATTGGGAATGATTATTATGGATAGACAAAACCAAAATTGAGTTATTTGGAGGTAATTCGAGAAATCATGTATGGAGGAAAGATGGTGATTCCTTCAAACAAAAGAACGCAGTTCCAACAGTGAAATTTGGTGGTGTCAACGTCATGGTTTGGGGATATTTTTCTGCAAAAGGTACTGACAACATATCAGTAATAGATGATAGAATGAATGCTACAACATATCAAAATATTTTGGAAGCAAATTTAATGATTTTGGTTGAAAATCTTGAACTTCCACCTGATTAGATCTTCCAACAAGATAATGATCCTAAGCACACTGCAAAATCTACAAGGAAATGGCTTGCTAAATGTAATGTTAATATCCAGAAATGGCCAAGTCAGTCCCCATATTTAAACCCAATGGAGAATCTGTGGACTTATTTGAGAATTCAAATCCAATCGAGAGCTCAAGAAAACATCCCAGATTTGAAGATCATATGCAACGAAGAATTTGAACAAAATACCAATTAAAATTTGCAAATGTTAATTGAGAAGTACAGGAAGAGGTTGGATGCTGTAGAAGTGAATAATCGCTATTCTGCAAAGTATTAAATGAAGATTATGTATTCGTTTTTGTATTGTACGAATACTTTCTTCACCCATTAAAATGAATAAATGGGATTTATTTCTATTAAATCAATTTTTTCTGTTTTCGCTGCATATTTAGTTATTATGCATCTGTGTACATTAAATTATGCGAAAAGTATGTAAACTCGGTTGGAAATAGAATAAATTAAAAAATTTGTATGTGTACGAATATTTTTTTTTCCCATTATATATATATATATATATATATATATATATATATATATATATATATATATATATATATATATATATATATATGGTTTGGTTTGGTTTGGTTTGTTTTAAAGCATATCAACCTCAAAGGTTTATTTAATGCCTACACAATTTTTGATGCGGGTTATATTTTTTTTTTCAAATATATATTTCTGGTAATATTTTTTCTTCAGAAAATCCATTTCTGGTAATATTTTTTCTTTAAAAATGTATAGCTGGAAATATCTTTTTTTTTCTCCAAAAATGTATTTCTGGTAATAATTTTTTTTACAATGTATTTTTGGTATTAAAACCTATTTTTACATTTTCATAGTATTTTGACTCCAGTTTGGTGGTTAACTATGTACCCATAGCTGGGATCCTAACAGGTGCTACCACCCCGGCTCAGGTTGGACCTGGGAACACCAGTAATTAAGAGGTCGTTCCACGCTCCTCAAAACCTCCTGATCAGAGGCTTTGCTGTTGGATGTAGTTTATCGTCTTACCCAGGACGTGGAAGTAGTTTATCGTCATAGCCAGGACGATATATATATATATATATATATATATATATATGTGTGTGTGTGTGTGTGTGTGTGTGTACAAAGATTAATAGCTTAGCTTCTAGCGGATTTTATAATTACCGACACGTAATTGACGATTAATATCTTAATTTGAAATCAGAGCTCCCCTTTCAATGTGAAAATTGTAGACTGTAAAAATTAAAAGAATATATGACGATATATAGTCGTTAGAAAAATATATGACTATATATAAAATATATAGTCATTATATGACTAATAGATTTTTAAATTTTCCAGTCTTGTATGATAAACATTGTCTATATGGAAAAGTGATTTTGTTAACCACCGGCATAACTGTAAAAGAGAAATCTCCATTTTGAAAATCCCACAGGATGAAACAGGTTGTTAATCGGTAAATAATAAAAAATATTATACATATATATATATATATATAAATGCTATGTAAAATCATGAGTAGTCGCTGTCGTTTTGTCAAGCAAAAAAAAGAAAAGAAAAGATATATTCCAAATATATCTTACTGGCAAAGCTTTTGAAAAAAAATAAATGCATGGTTTCACGGTGGAGTGAGTAATGGATAGCGGCTCGGATTGAGGAATCAGAGATCCGAGTTTGAATTCCAGTCGAATCCATTACATTCCTTTAGGTGCTAATACCCTTTGGAAAGGCATGAATCCTCTTCTCCCTCCAGCTATAGGTAAATAGTAGTACAATCCGGGTTTTAAAGGATTACCGAGCGTTAGAGAATATCAGAAAAATATACTATTAAGGAGAGAGAATAATAAAAGAACAAGAATCAAGAAGACATTAGATATCGATTTACATTGCATTAAAATTTTTGAAGAACAAACTTGGCTGGAAAGAATGAGACTGGAACAGATGTGACTGCAAAATTCTAAGGAAACAGGAATGATAGACTTATAAATAAATGATAAGACTTTTAAATGTGAATTACGTTTAAGCGTCTAATGATTTTTTTTTCTTTTTCTTTCAGATTTAACAACTTAAGTCTTTGGCAATTTCAATCATGGAAATTATCTACCAATTATCTGTTCGTTGTATAGCAAAACGGTTAATGTTGATCATTTGCTGGATATTTCTTTGGTTGCATTGGACGACATCGCTTGCTTTCTTCTGCTATGTTTGTCGCAAAAGTTTCAAACATTAAGAAAATATTGATTTGTGTCTGATATCAGGTTTGATTAATATATGAGTTAAATTCACATTTCTTCACGTTTCTTCAATTCTTCTAAACGATTTAGAAGCAATAAAGAGCTGCACATTCAATAGTGCAGAAATCTGCATCAATGCAATTGAAGTTTATTCGCATAAATACTTTTATGTGCGCCTTACGGCCACATCACATTGAAATATTAGTTCCTGTGCGTTCACCGAAGTTAAGCAACATCGAGCATGGTAAGTACTTAGATGGGTGACCGCTTGGGAATACCAGGTTCTGTAAGCTTGGAAGTGTGTCTGGTATAACAGAGAATGGCACGGAATTAGAAATCGGATAGTCGAGGTCTAATTTCAGTCACGTTCTTTACGTGTAAAAGGTAATAATAATAATAATGACGTTGATGATGATGTTATGAAGTAACAGTATCAGCGCAAGTCAGAGATGACTCAATACGACCAAGGTAAGATCCTGGGAGATTTCAACATCCAAACAGACTGCATTCTTGAAGCCACCAAACCAGATATGACCATCGTTGAAAAAAAAAAAAAAAAAAAAAAAAAAGGCAAGAAAATGCCTCCAAGTCGATGTGGCTGTTCCTAGTGGTCATAATATCAATGTCAAAGAAAATGACAAGCTTAAGTGCACCAATACCTGGATTGAGGTTGCCAGAATGTGGGACGCTCAGGCGACCATTGCCCCGATTATCGTTGGAATGTCGGCGTTTATACCATCGTTTTTATTAATTCTGAACAGCGCCTAGTATCCAGTTGCTTCAGAAGTATGTCTAGCTTGGCTCTGCAAACATTATACGAAAGGTGCTGTTTGAGGACATAAGACTTAATGAAGAACACCCATAATGCAAAACTTCGCGTAAGAAAATAATAATAATATGTATATATAAGATCGGGTCTAGTGCTATAAAAAAACTACAACACATATCAATTCTATATTCAATGTCCTTCGAAGTAGTCCCCTTCTGAAGCCACACGCTTTATACAGCGTCGTTTCCATTGATGGAAGCATTACTGGGACTCTTTTTGGGAAAGCAAGCATTTGGATTGCGTCGACGTCTTGAAATCTTGTTCCTTTCAAGTGGGATTTGATTTTCGAAGAGGGAAAAGTCGCAAGGGGCAAAGTTCTGGGGAATATGGTGATTGCCGAACCTGGAGAATGTTATAAATTGCCAAAAGCTGCTGCACAAGCCATAGTCACTGATGGAATCCATGTGGTATGGTGAAACAACCATACCTTACACTATTTCCTTCCATGCACTACTATAAACAACGGGAGTGTGTATGTACGATAGAGATCAAGATCAATCTGTGTCAATCAGTTTCGCTCTAACAGTTCCGATACTTTTTGATCAAACCTCGTATACACTATATTAGATTTTATTATAAAAGCCAACGTTTTTACAATAAAATAGGTATTAGCCAAAAGACATTGGAAAAATAATCAGGATATTTATATGATAAAAATACCATTTGAATTTTTTCTTATAACATGTAATTTTATTAGAAATATTTACAATAACTTATTTGGTAGCGTGAGATTTTCATTATTCTACATGAGGTTTGTTCATTGTATCGTATACATACATACATACATACATACATACATACATACATATATATATATGTATATATATATATATATGTATATATATAATATTATAGCTACTAATGTTTTTTTAATATATTAAGATATATATTAAGATTGCCATGAGTCATAAGTAAGATATGATCTCAAAATAGAAGCAAGAAATTGAGTGATGAGAACACAAAGTTTGAAATTGTGAAAAAGTTGGACAGACTTCACAGAACTATCAAGAAATAAATTGAAAACTTTGGCAAGATAAGAGAAAAAAATAACAGGTTTTAAGCCAAGAAATATTTGGAGAAGTTGGTGTTTTAAATTTAAACAGAAAGAAAAGATACATGAGAAACATGTACAGTGCTGTTCGATAAAAGTGACTCACCTGATTTTTTTCTCCTGACCTCAACACCATAGAAAACTTATGGAGCATTATAAAGTACAGGCTCTCGAGAAAGCAGTTGAGCAACATGCTCCATAAGTTTTCTATGGGGTTGAAGTCAGGAGATTGGGGCGACCATGTAATAAAACTCACCTGCTTCTCATCAAAGTATTCATTCATCAATTTCGATTTGTGACAGGGAGCCTTATCCTGCATAAAAAATGAGCTTGGTGGGGTCGTTTTGCACCCTTTCAGCAGAAGGGAGCAGACAAGACTAAAATTCTCTTGTACTGCTCGCTCCTGAGGGTTTTTTCAATAGGTTTTAAGAAACCAGTTCCATGAAAAGAAAAGCATCACCAGAACATTATACTGAACGGATGCTTGACAGTACTTATTGCTAAATTCAAAGAGCTTTCAAAGCTTCTTCGGATTTTAGATCGCTTATCCTTTGAATTTAGCTCAACTTTCGTTTCATCGGAGAAGAGAATATTTAGTAAAAAAATCAGGTGAGTCACTTTTATCGAACAGCACTGTAAGTTGGGAGAATTAAATGAAATTAAATTTTCGTTTTCTATTAATTTCTACTGTTATTTTTGGTTTTATTTGTTGATGGATTTCATAATTAAATTGATTAGTCACATGAAACCATTTATCGGCGTGGAAAAGGTATCCTTTTAAGTGTTTCGATCTCAGG